TCCTGCGGCCGGCCCTGCCCCCGCCGGTGGACCTGCCCTGCCGAGAAGGCGCACAGAGCCGCCAAGGCTGCTTCCCAGGCCTGCCGACGCTCCCTAGCAGGATGGGGATCTTGGAGTACTCCGTCTCATCCCGAGGCCACCCTGAAGCAAACAGGCAGAAGGCGTCTCCTGTGCCTCCAGGGTCAAAGATGACAGACTGCGCCTGGAGTAGGGCAGGCGCCACTCTCTAGCCAGCCTTATCCCAGCAGCGGTTAGGACACAAGACTGAGTTGCAACAGCCTTCAGTCCTCCAAGAAGAAAATGCCGAGGTGGCACGAACCTTTACCCCATTTTGCAGATAAGGAAACAAGGCAGACAAGTGAAGTAACTTACCCAAGGTGACACAGCTGGAAGATGGCAAAGCCAGGACTCCATGCAAGGTTTGTGCACTCTACATTTTTGCTTCCCCTACCCTCCAGCACCCACGTCAGAAAACAGGCTGCTGGGCCAGGGATTTAGCTCAGCGGCACTGCGCCTGCCTCGCAAGAGCAAAGTCCTGAGTTCGATCCCTCACACCGCCAAAAAAAGAAAAAAGAAAACAGCCCAAAATGCCTGTGACCCAGCCTCCCCAAGTCAGCTGCGTCCTCTGGGGACACTCAAACGCCCACTTTATTCTACTAGGATCACTCAACCCTGCCTGCTGCAAGAACACACCCCACCCCATTATGGCTTTCCTCTCTCAGAAGTACCCCTCCAAGAACCCCCAGGCCTTAGAGCTTTGCATTTCCAGAAGGGGAAGACAGGATAGTGGCCCAGACTCCTAAAGTTCTGACCTTCCAGTCACAGCCTCTGGAGGCTCAATGCCCTATGACTGATGGTGAAGAACAGAGGAGAAAAGACAGCCCTGCAGTCATTTCTTGGATTCAATTCCTTTTCTGCCCCATCCCCAACCCACAATTCTGACTTCAATTCCAGGCTCCAGCACACTGAAGGGGAAAGGAGGGGGGGAAGAAGGAGCAGAGGAGGAGAAGGGGTTATCATCCTGCCTCCAGCTGCTGCCCAGTACCCGGCCAGTATTACCTTACCTGTCTTAGCCTCTCTTGGCTCATCTGTAAGATATAGCCAGCAGCTACCTCATATAGTTGTGAGGCCCGCATGAAGAAATGCAGCCGGTTGTTTGCCACTCCGAGGACTGCTAGCTACCAGCACTCCTCACTTCTGGAAGAGCTCACTGGGTGCTATTTCTCATTCTCACAGATGAGTAAACTGAGGCCAGAGAGAAGTGACTCATAGGACTAGATAGGATGCATGACAACCCCTGAGCCAGTGATTCGCTCTATTATCCACTCCCCCACAGATGCCTAATTGCTGTCCCTCCCCTGGGCCCCCAGGGTGTATTCCAAACAGAATGAGCTGCCTTAGGAGAGTCAGCAAAAGGGCCTCTAGTGAGGAGACTTGGGAAGTACCAGGGGCCATACCTGCCTTATCCTGGGGACAAAAGGCAGCCCGACCAGTCTCCTCACTTAGTAAGGGAAACAGTTTACAAGGCACAGTTAAGGAACAATGTCTCAAACCAGGGCTCTGGGTGGAAAACTGGGCTTTTGTGCCTCTTAACTCCTACTTTGAGCAGGCCAAGTAGAGCCTCTTCTTAATCCTGGTCTCTAAAACCCTGCCCCACCACTTTATCCCACACATAGTCTTCTGCTGGATAAAATCTATCCCTTATTGGACTGTATCAATTAATACTGTTGCTGCTATGGTTGCTACAGTTTGTCAAGCCCCTGCTACATACCAGGCTTTATGCCAACCACATTGTTGGATCATCTCATTTGATTTCCTCTACGCACAACCTTGTCTATTACTGGGAAATGGAGGAGTTTAGAGATGTGAAGGTACTTACTGTCAACATAACTGGTGAGTGGTGGGCTGGAATTCAAACCCAGGCTTCGTCATTCCAGTTCTCTTAACACTCTGTCTCTCCCACCCCCCTGCCACCCCCAGGGAGATGCAAAAAGGACTGGGGTTACTCAAACTAACTACTTCCCTTTAAGCTGCAGATCTGAGAATAGTAACATTTTCATGCTTGGAGACTTCTGGGTGATGCTCCTTCTGCCTGGGTGCCCCTCCTCCTCCTAACTAATGTGGGACAAGGCTTAATGCAAACAGTGCTTTCCCTCTGCCAGTTTCTCAGTCATCAAGTCTCCATGAGTGGCCCAGTCTCCTCGGAGAGCAGTGTACTGCTTTCTCTAGGGCACCAGTCACAACAAAGTACAGTTATTTATTTACACGGCAGTCTTCCCCACGTAGGCAGGGGCCCTAGTTTCCCCTTTACTAGGCTCTGCGCAGAGCTGGAATGTGCTGAGCTGAGTTTCTACATGAAGAGGGTGGAAAGGCAGGGGGCTGGGCACTGAGATGGAGGGATCCTTTTCTGGGGCGTCTTCTCACTGAGGTACCCAAGGAGCCAGAGGGACATCTGCTCACCTGGAAGGGCATGAACTTCATAAGTGAACGGCAGCTGAATCCCAGATCTGTTCAGCCAGCACATGCCTTCATCACCAGCTAGCAGAAACTACAGAACCACATTCTCACCCCAACTGCCTGTTCAAACCATTTCCCTATGCGTACCACTGCCACAGGTCCCCATACTGCCCAATGCAATCTACCTGTTCCCATCCTCATTCCACCCTGGCCTCCTCCCCTCTACTGAGGTACCTGGCATCCCAGGGTTCAAGACAGTCACAGAGATCCAGGCCAGGGCCACTGCCTCCAGCCAGGAAACTTCACTACACACCTGATCCTCCTATCTCTATATGCCCCTCTTCCTACATTCGAGGGTTCACAGTGACAAGCCCAGAGGTACCTGGGGCACCTCTGCACACCTACACCAGGAGGATGGGTTCACAGACCTCCACAGAGGCAAACAGATTCACCCTCTCTGACACACCAAGAATTTCAAGAACTTGGACACCCATGGGTGAAACTCCACTCAGACGAAGACCAAGCATCTCCAGACACATATTGGGGGGACAGGGAGGGTGGCAAGAGCAGCAATCAAACTCCCTGGAGGCCCCATACTTGGAGGCATATACAGACTTTCTTAAACTTCAAAACAAACCAATGAGACAGGAATTATTCATGCCCATCTTACTGATGGTGAACCTGGGATACAGAGAGACTAAGCACCTTACCCAAGGTCAAAAAGCTAGAAAATGAGGAGGAATCACTAGCACTCATTTGTAGTGGTACAGTCAGAGCTCATCAGTAGGTCTATGACTTTCAAGTCCACCTACCTCTTTAGAGCTGTCAGGGGATGTAGAGAAACAAGCTTCCTTCCCTTGCCATGACTGAATGAGGTCACCCTCCACAGGGATTCCTTCAAAGCTGGTTCTAGCCCTGCTTCCTCCAGGAAGTCTTCTCAGGTTACCCAGCCCTCAGCCAGCCTATAGTACTTCTAACATTTCTCATTTGACACGTGGAAATTATCTGTGTGTCCCGCCCTGCAAAACAGGCTACAGTTGTGCCTCTCCAAAGCCCCTGTGCCTTTTCAAAGCACCCTGGGGGTTTTGCCCAATGTTTCACATGCTGAAGGCACTCAGAAGCCACTGTGAGGAGAGTGTGTGACCTCCTTCCCTCTCTATCACACAAAGGATCCTGCCAAAGAAACCTAACACCCCCTCTACCTTCAGAGCCTATGTTTGAAGTCCCCAGTGTCCACGCATCAATTTCCACCCAAGTAATTGCAGCCCATCACACACATCATTCCCTATATTTGAAACTCTTTGCAGTTGTCATGGGAACTGTCTTTGCCTTCATTCACTGATCAGGCCTCACAATTAGCTTTGGCAGCGGAAGTCTGTGTCAACTGCAATCGCAGGGAGGAAGCCAAGGAGGAGCAGCAGCAATAACAGAAGAAACAAGATGCCTCTCCTTGAAGATGCAGTAGATCCAGACTGAACCAAGGCATCCAGCGATGTCTGAGGGAAACCAGTCAAAAAGCCGCTAACCCCACCTTCTCACTTCCACAGAACAGGAAGAATACACCCAGCATCTAACAGCCGTCCACTCTCTGACATGGCCACACTCTGCCCTAACCCACATGCCCTCCTACATTCTTGTAGGGCATATACTATGAACCTCATCGAGGTCTTAGTCTCATTTCAGCAGCTGTGGACCACCAAATGTTATAGGACCTATAAACACAACAAAGGACCATACAACACCATAGAGAAGGCAGGACACAAACAGTGGGGAGTTTACACCTGATCTTAGCCAAAAGGCTGAGAAGTGATAACACTGAGGAGTTTAGAAACCTGGAGGCAGCCTCAGGGGAAGGCTTCTAAAAAAGAATTAACACAAAGCATCTAACCTTCGATTCTAGGATCTATGAATACCCTCAGATGTGCCCAACCAACTGTCTATCCTTCTCCACCCCTGACACCAGCCATAGCATTCCAGTACCATCTCTATACTTGGCAGGGTCAAGAGAAGCAGCACTCTCCTCATCCTTTACAGGTCTCTATGCTAAAACACTCAAG